ATGCAGCTGCCGCTTCCCACCTCTCAAAGACTGCATACATTCAGCGGTTGCTTGGCTATCATGAAGAGTGAAACTGATATAATCAGAAGAAACTTAGTCTGGCATAGGAAGCAGAAATTAGTGGTTAGAACAGGGTGGGTGTGGCTGACCGAGGCTGGGAATCATGATACTTCCATTCTTGGGTTATCAAGTTTGTATCAAGATACGTTCTGCTCTCCAGTGCGAAATGCAGGTAAAGTATAATATTCAAGCAGGGGAGGGGAAGAACTGGGTCTTCTATTCCAACCCACACTTCTGAATACTAACTAGCCTGTTGCAAAATTCCATCCCTGAGATCATCTTCAGAGACCTTTCTCCAGGTGGTCCCACCAAGTGAGATGTGGTTGGTGTCTAAGACAGAGTCTTTTTGATGGTAGAACCCCAGCTGTGGAATGCTTTTCCAAAGGAGACTAATTTGATGTGTGACCCTTTTGGTATCAGGAAAAAATGCCTTATTTTTTCAGGCTATTTCAACAATTAATCAAAAATCTAGATTCAAAATCTTATTGTTGCTTGAGATTATTGTGGTAGAGGAGGTAGTTAAATTGGCTTTATTCTCTGTTGATGGAGTTTTTATGCCGCATTCTTAAATTTTATCCCTCATAGTTGTATTTTAATGTTTGATCATCATTCTACATCACCCATAGGCTTTTGTTATTGGGTGGAATGTTACATATAATTAATAAACATGTAATAAATAAACCATATTCTTTTTTCCACCCTTAGATCGTGCTACAACAATGGCTGGGACAAGACAAAAGCTAACTTTTCTCTGATTGTTTGCTTCCTGCCAAAGTACATGAGGAATAAGGCTTCCTCCCACTGGGTCAGAGGCAAGGGACAGGTAGGAACTGGTGTGTAGCTTTTAAGGTTATAGCACAATGGCCATTCAGCACAGCAGGCACAGATGTTTGCTTCACAATTAGTCCTGAGCATATTTGTTGCATAATTAATGAGGGCAGCAGCTTTTACCAGGGGAGATGGGAATTCCCAGTCCTGATATTCACAAAGCAAGTGCTATGCTTTTACATTTGCTCTGGCAATAGGAATCTCAGATCTACACTGCGACATGAGACCAAGATACGTAGGGAGAAGAAAGCGAGGATACAGTAATGCCTCACTGCATGCATTTATGGCTTCACAGGTGAAGCTGTGCAACGAGGCATAGGCAGGGCCAGCATCAAGGGTAGGTGTGGTTAGGCGACTTCCAAGAGCCCACAGCCCAACAGGGGCCTACAAGGAGAGTCTCCTGGAGTTACTTCTCCTTTTCACCACTGCAAGCTGCTTGCTCACCTCTCAGACCACCATGGTAGAAAGAGGAGCAGTTTCTGCTGCTGCCATGTTGCCACTTGGCTCTGTGCATGTCAGGTATCCAAGTGAGTAATAGCCACGAGGAGAGAGAGGATGAGCTTGTGCAGATGGCCCTGGGAAGCCAGACATCCTGATGGAGGCAGTCCCTAAGGGTGACTTGCCCAAGGGTCTGCACAACCTGGTACCAGCAATGGGCATTTGCTTGAGAGGACCATCACACAGCCTGGCTGGAGAACCAGATTGTCTACCACCAGCACCAAAAGATGGGCCACTGGAAGTACCTGTACACCGTGTCCTGATGCTCTTTCCTGGAAAGAAACTCCTCTCCTCCTGGTTCTACTCCCTGCTCCTGTGTAAAACTACTGATTCCATCAAATCAGGAGACGATTTTGTCATGTTATTATGACACATTAACATTACTGGCAGCTCTGGTTGAGCGCCAGGAAGAAATGAGAAGCTAATCAAGTGCTCTCTGGGGTGTAAGGTAGTGTTTTCCATTCACAGAATTGCTGCCCATTGCTGATCAGGTCTCTGGAACAATGTCCAAAAGGAAGCTCTTTTTCCCTCTGGTGGCAAGGTGGCACTGCTCCAGCCCTGAGCAGTAAGCAGATGTCTCCCTGTTAAACAAGAATGCCCCATGGACTGAATGCTCCCAGGTTTTACTTTTGGTGGGGGTGCTCTTAGGACTGACAGAGTTCCTCAACACAACAAGAATCTGTACACAGCTCCTTCAGTCTTGCCAGCCTGACTTTCCAATCTGGATAAAAATTCTTCTGTCTGGGGTTACTCAAAGGAAAAGACAGCAGAGCAACATCTGAATCAGCAGTTGCCAGCATAAGAGAACAACAGAGATCCCACAGTCAAAGGCAACAGCAGACAACCTGTTTGAGCTATGGGCACATCTGGCAATTTGAGAACTAGTCCTGGGCACCAGCACAAAATGGCAAAGGATGAGGAACCTGCCCAAAAGATGGGGGACAAGGCAGAGGTGGTGGCTGAGCCCCCATGCACTGAACAACTCCTTTGAACCCACAGTTGTCGGTACCAACAGAGACCTATTTCACAGCAATCCCAGCTGCTGGTAAGTTGATTTCTCATTTTTTCCTCCAGTAAAAAGTAGTCCAGGAGTGTACTTGGACCATGAATACTGCACAGTCTGCCCCTGGTTCAGAGGCTCTCCCATGCAACAGTGCTCCTGATTGGGACTGCTTTTTGCCTAGGGCCATGAGTGGTGGAGATGAAGCAACCCCAATGGCATCCAACTCCTCTTTTAGTGGGAGAGGCTAAATCCTCTTCCCCTTCCATTGTGATCCCCTTTTGGAATTACTGTCTCAGAAAAGCATGCTTCGCTTTTCAGTTGAGCTGATCAGTAGGAAAGTGAATTGGGATTCTCTGGGGCTTGGCAGGCCACATGAGGCATGGCAGAAGCCTGCATGTGGCCCAGAGACTGCAGGTTGCTCAGCCTGGTATAAAGAAACCTCAGGCCAGATTGCCATATATATTCCGTATATTTATTCACATTCCAACTATTCCTTTGGTAACTGGTTTGTGTTTTGTACCTGCAGTTTTTCCTAGGATATGCTCCTGCAACACTCTTGGGGATATCTGGTGGAAGTATATCTCTGGGTCAGGGTGGCAGTCCTGATCAGTGCATCCTTTCTCAGTTTTGTACAGGGAAAACTGAGATTTCACTGAGTATGTGTTAGCAATACTATAGCAGAGAATATCACTCCTGTGGAGCAGGGAAAGAGGAAGACAGCAACAGCTGAAAGGGTCAGATATGGGAGGCAAAGGGCCTCTTCACATATTAGATTTTTCACTGTACTGTTGAGATGCTTTACTTATGGAGCTGAAACTGTACAATGGGAGTGTGTAAGATGACAATATCTGTGAGTATCCCTGTATCATGATAGGAAGTATGCTCATCAGGAAGCCAGAATTGGCCACAACTTCCGGGCAGAGGCTCCTCTTGCTAATAATCAGAGACTTTTTATTTTGGTCATGACATTGCCTTGTCCCATTCACAGAATTTTATGTGGGTTCAGCCATGACATCTTCAGTTTGTATCCTTCCCACCGCTACTTCTGCTTTTTTTTCTTTTTTTTTTTTTTTCTTTTGCAGCAAAATCTGTTAAAGAGAAAAAGACAGCCTTTTAATTGGGAGCTCTGGAAGCACCCATATGCCGACTTCTTTTAAGTGGGAGAAGTGGTAGAAAACACAGGATGGTCACAAAGGAAAGACAGCAAGGTCTAGACCCTCCATAAACGTCCACAAATAAAAGCCTGGACTGAAGGTATGTGTAACATAGACCGCTTCCCGCCATGCTGTGAATTGCCTTTTGGACACTTGTTCTGCATTTACAAAACCGATCCAACATATCTGCTTGTTCGCCGAAAATGCCAACTCGTGTTTTGCGAGTTGTCCTCGAACGGACCGTAGCGGATGGTGTTATTCGGCCTTTTAATCTCGTCTGTGTGTAAGCGCGGGGGGGGGGGCTTGGGGACGCGGGACTTTGGCATCAATTCAGAGAAAAGCAAAGCAGCTGCGGGAGTGGAGGAGCCTCGGGCACAAACGCACACACTCACGCCAGAATCAGAGGCATCAACAGTTCCTGCTGGTGCCAGCGCGCACACGGCCACCCTGCAATCCGAGACTGGGTACCTCCGCCACTCCGAGGCGCGCGCGTGCATACACACACAGACGCGCGTACACACACACCACACGCACGCACGCACACGCCGCTCTACGGCGATCTCTCGCAGGACTTGGGGCTAGCCCGGCTGGGCCCTGGCGCCGTTTTGGACGCGATGAATTCCTGCGGATGCTCCTCCTGCGATTGAGCCGAGGCGCGATTTTCTCCCCCTCCCCCGCGCATCTCGCCGCCGCCCGCCCCCTCTCCGCCCGCCTCAAGACGCGGCATCGCTCGCTCGCCCGCTCGCTCGCCACCAGGGGAGGATGCATGTGTTTGGCAAGGAGACAGGCGCCGCCGCCGCCGCCGCTCGCTCGTTCAGTCGCTCAGCTGCCTGCTTTCCGGCGACGGTCGCCTCTCTTTGATTCCTGGGAGCAGCGGAGGCTCAGCCAGCAGCGGCAGCAGCGGCAGGATTCCCCTCCACCAAAACCGCGCGATCCCTGCTTTCTCCCGGCAGGTGCCGCCACGGCTCGGGTACCCTCGGCGCTCGCTGCTGCTTCTCTTTGCGCCTGCATCGCCAGCCGCCCCGAGTAGCTGAGCCGGCAAGGTCCTGCTGCCGCTGAGCGCTAGCGACCGGCTGCCGACGCTGGCCCTACTTTCAGGTTTGGATGCTTGGCATGTTAACGGGGCGGGTGGGCGCGGGCTGGATGGTGGGGTGGGGGGGGGAAGTGGGAGGATCTCACCAGGCCACGTTAAAAAAAGTGCAGCCGGAAGAACGGGTGCCGCGGTGATGGGCGCCCTGTGGGAAAAGGGAAACGCGACGGGAAGGGGGGGATGCTCTGGAGCGTATCTCCAGCCACCCCAGCGCCACAGACAAAGGCTTAGAGGGGAGAGCAAGGTTTAGTTCAGGTGTTCCCAAACAGGTGCATGGCCCGAGCTGGCCAGGGAATCATCTCGAGCACCTTGATCCTCTCCTCCCCCGTAGAGCGGCCTCGTCTTCTTCCGTGCCCCAGACGTGACCATGATGGATCTGAAGGTGGACGAAGAGGAGGTGGAGAACAGTCAGCCGGTGAGCCTCGAGGCGTTTGCCAGCAGCTCCACGTTGCATGGCCTGTCCCACATCTTCTCCTATGAGCGCCTCTCTTTCAAGCGCATCTTCTGGACCCTTTGCTTCCTGAGCTCCTTGGCTCTGCTGGTCTTTGTCTGCAATGAGAGGATCCAGTACTACTTCTGCTACCCCCACGTCACAAAGCTGGACGAAGTGGCAGCCACCCACATGACCTTCCCTGCCGTCACCTTCTGCAACCTCAACGAGTTTCGCTTCAGCCGGGTAACCAAGAATGACCTGTACCACGCTGGAGAGCTGTTGGCTCTGCTCAATAGCAGGTGGGTAAAGGGAGAGGGGGGTGAGGAATGCCCCAGTGCACATGGCAGCACAGAGCCAGGTGTCCAAATGCCCCACTGTGGGGTGGCAGTCAACAGTTAGCACCTGTATCCCTCCTGTGCACCTAACACATACGTATCTGCCAGGAGGCTGCAGGAACGGTGCACTGAAGCCCATGTCATTTCAGCATACACCTGTACATTGTGTACATGGATACTCTGCTTGGCAACTTGCATAGGCTACGAATAGGATTACAGGTTACACCTGGCATGCAGCAAGTTGGATGGCCATACACTGGGACAAGCCAGATATGTGGCTGTCTGTATATTATTGTGGGCGACTTGTGGCCCTCCCAATATGGTTGAATTGTGGCTCCCTTAACCAGCACAGCCAATGATGAGACATTACAGAAATTGCAGTCCAAAAACATTTAAAGGGCCATACATTGTCCACCCCTGCTGTATATGGCTACATGCAAGTACAGTATATGTGGACATGACAGCCTTGTAGCAGCCTGCCCTTTGGGTATGCACACTATGTGGTTCTGTGCACCCCTTTTTGATCATGGCCCCTATGTTGCGCTTTCTCTTTGTGCTCCCATGTTATGGATACAACCATTAGCACTTCTGCTTCTGGCATTATTCTTTGCACAAGTCAGTCCACTTTTCAGTTTTTGTTCTCTTGTTTCATCCACTGCCCTGTTACCCAATAAAACCAGTCCCTGTGAGAATTGGGTAGTGTGCATGACCAGACAGTCAGCACCTGAAGGAAGCCCCACTCTGGAGTCTTCCCTGTCCAGTTCTACCCAGATCCATGCAGGTGCATGTGGGAAGTTGCAGAGAAAAGACCCGTGCAGCTCAGACCTGTGGTCAGAGAACTATCTTAGGAGCAGAGGGTAAAGGCAAGAAGGCAAGGCAGGATCTGGGCTTTCTGGATGGTTAGCTGCACAGTGCGATTTCTTTGCTTGGCTGGTAGCAACCCAGACGGCTGGCGGGCAAGGCCCCTCTTACCTTATTCTAGTGAGTGCCGTTAAGTGCTTTGGAGATGAGCCCCAAGAACCCTCATGTGCATTGCACTGCATCTTATCTAGACGCCTCACTGCCCTCTGCTGGAGAGACGGCAACTCCTCAGCAGTGGTCCGAAGCCCAGTTGTATTCCTGAAAGCAGGCAGTGTCCGTGCATCTAAAGCGTGCCTAGGTTCTCAGTCAAGATGGTCTAGAAGTCAGCGTCATTTTGGTACTCACATGTCCCCCTGACGCAGCAGGGATGTTGCAAGTCTGCCCCATGTGAGCTAAGCAAGCCTGTGGCACCGTGATGCATGATTCCATGATCTGCTGCCTACCTACTCATTGTCCCCAGGCTAGGAAAACAAATAGGACTGGGATCTTGGGCCATCCAAGAAACAATGTTACAAAATGTTCCTTCTTTGAAAAGGGGTTCCTTTCCCAGCTTTTTTCTTCCTAAGGACTGTTCCTCATTCAAAATGCCACAACTCCAAATAACAGTGCCCCTTGTTTCTGAACATAAGAAAGATAAGCTGAGCCAAGCTGGATTGGACAGAAGGCCCTTCTAGTCCACAGGCCTGTTTCTCACAGTGGCCCTCCAGATACCTGTGGGTAACATCTCAGGGTGGGAGGGCAAGAACCCTCTCTCAGTTGCCCTGGGATTCTGGTACGCAGAGTTACATTGCCTGCCAGTCAGCATGGTGTCTTTACGTAGCAATCAGGGCTAATAGCTCTCATAGACATCTCCATACGTTTGCCTCTAATCCTTCTTAAAGCCATCTGAAGCTAACGGCCAGCACTGCATTTTGTGCCAGTCAATTCTTTGTGTTCAGATGCAACATTTTGAGAAAGTGCAGGCCAGTGGTCCATCTAATCCATTATATTTCACAGGAGTAGCCAAATCAGAAATATACAGAAGCATTTGAGTAATGCAGGATCATCCCCAAAAGTCTTCTGTTCCTGTCTTGCTGTTCACTTGTAGTTTCTCTAGTTCAACTTTCCCCAGCCTAGTGCCTTCCAGATGTGTTGGGCAGCAACTCCCGGCAGGGTCTGGGAATGCCAGTGCTGTCTGGAAATGATGGCAGTTGCAATCCAACATGTCTGGAAGGCTGGGAATGCTGACTCTAAATAGTTGTGGCTTTCAATGGGAAGACAGAATCCATTGTTTTGGCTGAGGTTGGTAGGCCAGCTGCTCATTCTGGTAGCCAGGGAGGCTTGCAGTTCTCACTTCTTGCCCTGGAGAGGTTAAAAAAAGGTCTGTGTCTTTTTTTGTTACCACTATCAGGCAAAAAGATCTTCACAGGGGAGAAGCAGCAAGCAGTGTATGCATTTGTAGCAGTCCAACCTATGGCATTGATCTAATGTGCTTCTCCATGTGCAAAATGTGCCATCTGCTGATGAATATGGCTTTCTGAGAATCACAGTAGGTAACGTGTGGGTGGATGGAACTCTTACAACTTCATGTTTCTGGCTTTTATGGTTGTGAAGTCTTGTACAAAGCCAAGTATGTGGAGTTTCCACCATCCCCTTTGTCCTGCTCCTACACTCCCAGGGGTTCCTTTGCCATTCTCTTATTCACAGAGCTGCTAATGCTGTGCCTCTTCTTCCCTCTTCATGTACAGGCAAAAATATTCCAGTATCTAATGCTTCATGTAATTAATGATTTTTAAGCAGAACAAGTAAATGTGCTCAAGTGCTTATCAAATTGCTTGATTTATTCCAAGAATCTGAGATTTTTAAAATCAGCTTATGTATGTCTGAATGTTGCCATCAAACCAACGATATTGCGGTCGGCTCCAGTCTTCTCTGGAATTAGCAGGATTTACTTATACCAGGTACTGCAGGTCAGGGACTGATGCCATATTCCAGTCTTCCTCAATTTGACATGCTCCAGATGTGCTGTACCATGCTGGCTGGGGTTGATGTAAACTGTGGTACTTCACATCTGGAGAAGAGCCGATTGAGCAGGGCACCTTATTTTTTGAACCACCAGCTGGAGCTGTTAACTGCAGCCTGTCTGAGCCAGGACACAAGACCTATATGGGTTCACACAAGCTTCCAGATCTCCTGCACTCCAACCATTACTGGGCAAGTTCTTCCAGAAGACATCTTCCAGGTGCATCTTTCTATGTCTGTCCAATTGCCTTCCTATTCTAGGAATGCCAGCCCTCAGAACTGAAGGCCAGACAACTTAACTATAAAGTTTATTGGCTGCAGTTGCAAATAAAATGACAGAAGAATCAAGGCAGATTTTGAGACGCTTACTGTAACCATGTTTTAGTGACACGACATGTTAGAACAGTGGCCTACAACATGTCAGAAAGCACAATCCTTCATTTGAGCTGCAAGAAGTCCCCCAAGATGGGCCTAGGCTGACAAAGGAGACAAAATTGTGTGTCATGATCCCAGATGCCTGGACTCCTAAGCCAATTCAAATGCTGTATCTGCAACAGTTACTGGCCAATGCTGCTGGCTATGGGTAGAATCCAACTTGTGGGAGCAGAAGTCCACTCATGCAAGGGGATGCTTTCCGCTTGCCCTCCCATGGATCAGCGAGGGGAAATCGACTTCACTTTCATAAGCAGTTCCATCAGTAGAACTGGATTTCATCCTGCAACTGTTGCCTCTGCATATTCCTTGGCCATGTTGCAGGTTCAAGGGCCTAAGAGGGCCATAGTGGGCAGCACACACAGAGAACAGGCGACAGGGTCCCCAGGCAGCTCAGCAGGTGAGGGGCATGCGAGAGGATAGTTTATAATTCAGTCCAGAAGACTCGCAACAGGAACCAGGCAAAGAAGCAGTCCCGAGGGAAGGCAGGTGAAACCACATTCAAGAAGGTCTAGTGCATGTTGTTCCTAGTCATTCTCTTAGCTGTATACTGCCATTTTGATAAAGAAGTTGTCTGAGGCACATCTCATGGTCAGCTGTTAGTGCAACTGAAAAGGTCCTCCTTGTGAGTAAGCCTCCTGCACGACAGTATGACCTCTTTCCACAAGGAGGCCTCTGAATCAGTCCAGCACTCTTCTGCAACTTTCTCTTCTCAGGTGCAGTCTCACCTTGCTGGCTTAGGGGGTTTCTGTTTCCTTATCTGAGGCAGAATCCTTGATCTCCACAGGTGAAGCCCTCATGGTAGTCCCTGCTGAAGGCCAGGCTCTCATCTGGCCTGCTGGCAGAACTTGGCCATTGTTGGTCACTGCTGGTCCTCCAACTCCTCCTCCAAGGAGGAGTCTTCCCGCAAGGGCACACCAGTACAGCCCTGCAACAGACAACTGGGGGGAACAAGTCATCCTCTCCCTTATTGTCTGGCTAACAAGCCAGGCATTCTTGTTCGCACTGAAATTCAACCTTCTCCTCTCCCACCACACAGAGGCACACACTTTCACTGAAGGAAGCCAGTCAGGCTGAATCATGTGGTGGATGCTCATTGGTCATGTTGGCCAATGGAGGTGCAGCGTGGACCGAAGAACTGGGGAGGTGGGCTCTGTGGAAATGACATATTCCATTCCCCCAAAGCAAGAGCCCTGTAGGTACTGCTATTTTTTCAGCACAGCTTTTCTTAAAGTGGAATCTTCCAGATGATCTGGACTATAACTCCCATCACCTCTGATAGTTGGTTTTATTGCCTGGGACTGTACATTTGAAGGGATGGCAGCAGAGGAAGGCTGCTGTAGGTGCCTTGTCTACTATTAATGAAGCAGGCACAGGTATTGTGTACAAGTATCAACAATTTTCAGGCTTTGAAGGAAAAGTGTAAGGACTTAGCTAAACATTTTGACTCTCTGCTTCTGCCTTATCACTGCCTGCATACCCTACTCTTGAACAATCACTCACTCAAATCTTTCATGAGATTGGCAGAGTGTCTCTTTTAAAAAATCCACAGCTGGCCTTTATGTTTTCAGAAATGGCAGTCAGCGGTGGTGTAGAGGCAAACTTTGACTTGCAGGAGCTCTTCCTGGCAGTCCCTACAGCCACAGTCCAGGAGAGTCCTGGAATGCAGGCAGCTGTTCCAGGTCTAGCAGTTCTCATCTACCTCAGGCCTTTGGAAAGCTCCTGAGTCTGAATTGCCCTTTCCACACTGAGTCACTCCCCAAATACACAGCATTACAGCCGAGAACCATTTATTGCCCCTGGGAAGAATTCCTCTTCCCCACCAACTCCTGTGAGGTTTATAACTAAGCTCCGAAGGGACAGAGAGGTCTGAGGGAGTGGCAGATGAAGGCAGCATCCCTGCTAGGGAAAAAGCGTTGGTCTTGCATCCCTGTGGTTCTGCTATATCACTGAGGGTCAACCATTGAGTCATCCATTACGTCTTCATCCCAGAATGCTAAGAGAAATCAAACATACCTGCAGCATCCACCAGCAACAAATCCATACATTCAGTTTGCCATCTCCCTCATGAGATTCAGTCTGAGCTGCAGACCTTATGGCTACAACTTCTCTTTGCCCCCCCCCCACCCCCCATTTTGGCTTCATCTCCTTAGCTTCCTGACTTTAGCGCCATCCAGCATGATTGCTTTGTTTTTATATTTATTTCTTACATTTATAACCCACCTTTTCCTCCAAGGAAATCGAAGTGGCATACACAATCCTTTTCACTCCATTTTATCCAGACTACAACTCTAGGAGGCGGGGTTAGGCTGCAATTCATTCACTCAGTGAGCTTCGCCAAGTGAGTGGGGGATTAGAACCAAGGTCTTCTGAATCTCATTGCAATAACTACTATACCACACTGCCTCAGGAGAACTGAAAAGCTTGAACACACTTCTGTGGCATTTCAGTTGGTTCTACTAGAGGTGATGCCTTACTAGGGATTTTGTTTTTATTTTTTTCCCCCTCACAGCTATCTGTGTTCATTTTTTGAACAAAATATGTGTTACTAATGCAAAATGTGTTATCCCTCTGGAGGGCGGAAAAGCTGCAGCTCTCTTCTCTTTTTCTTTCTCTTTCACTTTCCTTCTTTGTTTCAAATGCAACTGTGTAGTTGAAACTGACTTGCTGCTCTTGCAAGGAATGGAGAATAGTTCTTACCCCATAGGGGTCTTGATGTGTGCCTTAATTACACCATGTGATAATTGCACATATGCTGATGCTTAGATGTCCCAGCTGCACCTTGGAGCAGGATGCTCCAGATCCTGCCTGCCAGTGATGTGATGTCACTGGGTTGTCCCCCGTGAGCTCACAGGGAGCTGCCTTGTACTGAGGCAGCATCTTGGTTCATCGAGCCCAGTGCTGTCACCACTGGTTGGCAGCCGTGGTTTCCTGGGTCTTTCCCACTACCTGGGAAACCCAGGACCATCTGCATGCAACGTGGGTGCTCTAGCACTGATCCACAGCCCCTCAAGTGTTCTTCCATTGTTCTCTGGTCCTTTAAGCACCTCTGTAAGGGATTCTGTGTGTGTGGACACTGGAGGTTGGGAACTTCCTCTGTGGAGAGTGTACCAGCCAAGAAAGGGACTCAGAGACATTTTCCTTCCCCAACTGAGCTGTCTGTTCTCCTTCAGGTATGAGATTCCAGACACCCAAATGGCTGATGAGAAGCAGCTGGAAATCCTTCAGGAGAAGGCAAATTTCCGTAATTTCAAGCCCAAGCCCTTCAACATGCGAGAATTCTCCGACAGAGCGGGCCACGACATCCAAGAAATGCTGCTCTCGTGCTTATTCCGTGGGGAGCCCTGTGGGCCAGATGACTTCAAAGTGGTGAGCAGCTGTTCTTTGCCTCTGCAAAGCGTGTGTGCGCGTGGGCTGATCACCTGGCATGCTTGGCTACCGTTCCTGCTCTGTGGCCAGAGAGAGAAAGATCCGTGTTGTTGTCAGGGGTTGTGGCTGGCGTTGCACTAGAGAAACATGGTGCATCTCAGGACATTGTGTGGGCAGTTCTGTTTGTGCCAATAGGCTTGTGATCGACAGGTCTCCGTTGGATCATGTTGACAACATCATAGTTGGACGGGGGGCCTGCTCTCAGGCAGGCTCTCTACCCTTTCTGTTATAGCGGAGCTGTGCTTTTCACATGTTAGGGGTGTTCAGGCAAGCCCCTGGCATGCTCGCTGGACACCCAAGGTGGGACTGTGACTGCTGTGCCCAGCATTTGTGGGAAAGGGACTGATGCATGCACAGCTGTATGCAGCTGCTGGAGGAGCACGCCTAGAGTGCGCCTGCCGGTGGCATGTAGCTAGCAGAAGCTTTGATATCTAGCAGTGTGGCTAGCAGGCATGGTCCCACTCCTCCACGTGCGCAGTGTAAGGCTGCGTGTGGGGGGCGAGGGATGGAACATCTATACAGCCCTGTGAAATATGATTAATCAGAGGCCTAAATGCATTGGTTAAGCTCTAAGGGATGTCAGAATATTTCAACTATAACCTCTGACTAACTCTGCCTTGAGTCATTCTCACGTCATTGTATTTCTCTATAGAAAAATGGACTCTGTCCCTTGCAGATAACAAGTCTGCTGTATGTACGTGACCCCTTTTTCTTGAAGTTTGACTTTCATACACAAACCTTTCCGCAATTCTTAGTTCTACAGTGACTTGTGGGTTAGGGCTGAGGCTGATCTGGCTGGGACTTCTCACAGGGGCTGTTAGGATTTCTCTGCCTTTGTGGAGGCACAGCAAAAAGTTGCTTGGCCTTCTGTGGCCCCCAGTAGCCCAATGGGGAAATGGGCCATGGACCACCTTCCACCACTCATGTTGGACATTGCAAGTTCTAATGGGGGAGGCTAGCTATCAGGGAGGGCCTCTCACTGTTGCTGTGGGCCTGTATAACTGTTGTACTGTGTCTCCCTGTACATTAGCAGAATGATCTCGAGGGCCAGCAGCACTGGGTTGTGGTGACTTTGTCAGCCTGAGCAGATGCATTGGCTTGCCAGGATTTATCATACCTACATGAACCAGCATGGTGTTGTGGTTAGAGTGCTGAACAGGGACTGGGGGGTCTGTGATTTAGTCCTCACTCAGCCATGGAGCTTTGGGCCAGTTGCTAAGAGGGGACTACCTCAAAAGGTTGTTGTGAGGATAAAATGGAGAGGAGGATCCTTGTATGCTTCCTTGGAGGAAAGGCAGGATATGCATGAAAGCAATAGACAAACTAGATGCTACAGAGCCAGGGATCCGCAACGTACCTCCTGAGACCTTTTTGACCGTGGCCTTGGATTTAAAAAAAAAAAAAGAGCTGCCAGTCCCTCCCAGTAATGATTTCATTTACGTTGGGCTCCTGGTGCTTGTTTCTGCCCTACTTCCTTGAGGAAGCATCTTTTGGTGTGGCTGTAGCTACAGCTCAAACCTCACCCACCACACCCTGCCCAAGGTGGACAAAAGCAAAACCAGGCTGCCTTATACTCCCTGGCTAGGAGAGTAGAAATAAGAGAAGGAAGCAGGGACCAGGCATTGCTATGAAGGGGCATCGCCGTCAACCAGTGGGGACCTCCAAAGGGAAACAGGGAAGTCTGAGAAAAATAAATGGTGCATCCTCTCATTGCTGGGTTTGTCCTGGGCCCAGACTAGGCCGGATGTTTGCCATGTACTCCACCCTTGTGAAGTGATCCTTCAGCACACGGAGGAGGAAATCATCTGTGCTGCTTTATTCCTTCAATCCAAAGATGTGCGCAAGTGGGATTTAGAGGAAGGGTAATGCTAAAGTGAGGGAAATGTCAATTCGGCACTAAAAGTAGCAAATGGAATATGCATGTGGGTGTTGGATATACCTTGCAAGCTGCATACATCTTGCGAATTGAACACACTTGCCTGGTTCTGCTTCTTTGGTGAAACCTGCTCTGCTTCTGCTAGGCCTGTGATTGACTGGCTTTTAATATGGTGCCACTGGTGTTGCTGGGGCCTTTCAGAGCCACCTGGGCAGGTCCCTGCTCCCAAGAAACTGGCAGGCTGAAAATAGACAGTGGGGAGATAACAGGGGGAGAGACATGCACCATGGCATGTCCTTGCTTATAGTTAGGACTGAGGATTGGGGATTAAGGGCCAGAGCAGACATGCAGTTGGCCCTTCTGTAGTTGCTTGTGTTGTTCTTTTTAGGGATAGGGGAGGGAGATAAGGGGAGGGAGATAATGGGCCAGATTAGGTCCATGGCAGGGGGAGGAGTCATTCCAAGCAAGTTAAGCTTGAGTGGACTCCCCGCACCCCACTTTATTTGCAAGAAGAGGAAAGTTCCCATTGGTGCCTGTGGGAGGTGTCCTCCTCTTTCAGATACCATGCACTGGGAGAGGGCAGTTCTGATCAGGATTATGACTGGGACAAAGGGAGAGCTCACCCTCTCCTCCCATGCCAGGGTCCCAAACAGACTCAGCCCTCCCTCCAGTGGAACAACAGTGATGTTGGAGGAAGATGCAGGGCAAAGATCATGCCCAGTGACCCAAAAGGCCAAGTGTTTCCCACCACCTTTCTTCCTCCGACCAGCAACGGCTTGATGGCTTCTTGGCATTTGTGTATTTTCCCCCATTCTGAAAGGCTGGCATGCCTCTCCTAAGGCTGAGTTACTGGCAGGAATTACTTTAAGCAATTCCTTTAACTAGCATACTGATTTTGTGTTGGTGGTGGGGGGGGGCATTTTGTATTTTGGCTCCACCCAGCAGTCAAAGGCAGCCCCTGAGTGCTTCTCTACAATGAAATCAGTCCTTAGACTGAAAAAGTTCAGCCTGAAAGAGGCAAATCAAACCCATATGGGAAAGAAAACCTGGGCTCTGGGCAGGGTCTTAGAGGAAGAGAGAGTGCAGTGGTACCATGTATCCGTTTGAGGCACCATAACAGGCAGTGAGGGAGAAAGGCAGAGCCATTTACAAGAGGAGGAGACCTTTGGCCATGTGAAAGAGGAGAAGGGGATGCAGACAAGGGTTATAATGAGAAATGAGAAGCAAGTGACAGTGTAGGGAAAGGTCATAGATGACTTTAAAAGTAATGAGTAGTTTTTGTTGGGTGGTTTATCAATAGAAACCAAATAAAAAGCCAAATCTCTTCCAGTTGGAAAACCAAATTCCATTTTAGAAAATCTCTTGGGGACTACATTTTCATGTGAGCAGGGGTGAAGGCAAAGGGGGCAGGCCAAAAATGTAAGAATATGCTGCCTTAAAGCTCTTGCTGCCAGTAGTGTAGCCTTAGCTGAAATACTTCTGTTTTTTCAAATTGGAGTAGCCACTTTGGAAAAAAAAAGAAAGAAATGCATCAGCAAAAAGGAGTACACAATGGGACAGCTGCTTGTATTTGCTAGGTATTTGCAGATATGCAGAGCAAGGCATGCATTTTGAAATAATGGTTGCTTCAGTAAAGATGCAAAACGTCCCACCCCTGGGGAAAAGATTGTGGGTGCAGACCTGTGGGGCTGCACCGTCACCTGCTGCCCAGGTGCTGGGTGTGGATGGGCTACTTCAGTGCTCCTGCCTGGCCTCCCTCTTTATGGTTCTCCCACTTGACCCAGACATTGTTTGGACAGCCTATCAAACAGAAGACCCTCAAAAAGAAAGGAAGATTGTTCTCTAGCTTGCCAAGATAAAGGATTGTCCTCTGCAAATAGCACATCTGACTACTTAATGATGTATATGGTGGGGGGTGGGGGATGTGCTAAAGCCAAACAATAGATGGTTGTGGAAAAGGGGTGGGGAAGGGGAAGGTAACCTGCCCATGTGGGGGAACCCCAAGGGGCTGAGTCGAGATTCCAGGTGGACCTCAGTCACTGTTCAGCCCTCGTATGCTAAAGAACTGACAGATGGTCTGAGTGGCTGCCAGGTAAATCATTTTGGCAGCTCGGTTTTTAATCAAGGTGGAGGGGACCAGATCACAAACTGAAGTTTTACTGGAGGCAGGGAGGAAGGGAGAAATTCCTGGGTCTCCGGCACTGCCTTGACTCCTGAACGTCCTGCTCTGCGTCCCCTCTGGCTTCTTATCAGGCACTGCCTACAAAGTCACTTCCTTGGCATGCTGTGCTGTAGGCAGCCCTCTCAGGGCTCATAGGCCTCCATATTGGGAGACCTGTGATGCTCCAGCACAGCACAGGAGGCATGTCAGAGGCAGCTCCACCTCCCTCTCAGCAGGGCAGCCAGATGGATGATGTGGAGTGAGAGCAGAGGCTGGAGTGACCCCGCTCTTCTCTCCATCCCTGAAATAGCCCTCCTCCCCTGCTCTGAGGTTGATTTTTCCAGCCTCGGAGAAGCAGCTGGCTTGGCATCTCTGTGGAAGCCATGAGGGAGAGGGGGATCCAAGCCCAGACCCCCACCCCCTCTTCAGTGGGGGGGAGCTGTGCTCTGGGCTCAAAACCCCTTGCTTTTCAGGGGGGAAAACCACTCTACTTTAATGTACTGGAATTGAAGGTTTGTCTCCTTTCATACAAATGAACATTTACTTTCTTGTTGTTTTGATGTTATGACATGCTGTAGTCACTGTTTTGATAGCTCTGTAGAAATCAGGGCATGAATTTCAGTAATCCATACTCTAAATATTTTGCCCTCCATTTATCAAGCCATTAACAGAGACCATATCTCACCACCTAGAAAAGCTAAGTTGGTGGGGCCTCAAGACAGGGCCTTTTTCATAGCAGCACATCCCTAATGGAGCTCTCTTGGGCGAAATGAGATTGGCTTCTTCATTACTTTGCTTTAGACAGCCAATAACGCTGAGCTGTTCCACTGGGCTCTTAATGTTGAATATTGTTTTTTAAAATCCCCTTCTTCAGATGTAATGTTAATGTCACTCTCAAATATT